GCGGGAGGAGGGCGAGCCCCCCTCGCCGGCCGGCCCCCGGATCCCCCCGACCGGCCGGGGGCTGTGCGATCTCCAAGCACTCGGGGCGAGAAACTCCCTGGCCGGGCGCTGCCAGCCTCCAGCCCCGTCCCCTCCGGGGATCCCCGGCCCCCGCGGCCCGATCCCTTCCGGCCCGGCGCTCCCCGACCGCTGAGAGCCGGTGGACTCCAGCACGCAAGCCTCGGGGCAGGCCCGGGCTTGTCGCGGGCATCACTTCCTGCCTCTGCCCCTGGTGGGAGGGGCGCGTCCCGCCCCTGCCCCCTCAGGCCAGGGGGCTGGATGCTTCGAAGGGTCCCTCCGCCTCCTCGCTTGCAACCAAGTTCGCTGCAAGCCCAGGCGCCACCCACATTCTCCGCCAGGGACCCAGCGTTCTGGCCCCCCCAGTTACTTTACCGACTACAGACCCCCGGGATCCCAAGCCCCCACCCTGTGCTCCCTGATGAACCATGAGCCTCCCCCGCCCTCTGGTTCTCCCAGGGACCCAGACTCCAGCCATCTCTCCCCTCCTTTCCCCTCCAGGGCCTACCAGCTCTGAGCAGATCATGAAGACAGGGGCCCTGTTGCTTCAGGGGTGAGTTGAAGGGCCGATTATTGGAGAGCGAATGTGAGACGGGACACCCCCGTTCTGATTCTGCACCCCTCACTCCACTCCTAGTTTCATCCAGGATCGAGCAAAGCGGATGGGGGGAGAGACGCCCGAGCTGGCCCTGGAACGGGGACCCCAGGACCCATCCACCAAGAAGCTGAGCGAGTGTCTCAAGCGAATTGGGGATGAGCTGGACAGTAACTTGGAGTTACAGAGGTGTGACGCTGGGGACCCAAGAGGCCACGCCCCTAGCCCCTCCTCTCTCCAGGACCAGGCTCTCCCACCTCCATCCTCCATCCTCCTTGTTCAAATACTGCTGTTCCCTAAGGCGTTCCCACCCCACCCCCTCCTCCCTCACCCAGTGCTCAGCCCAGCCTTCTGGACTTTAAACCCTCTCCTCCTATTCCTCACTGTCACTGAGTCCAGACTCACAGCAACACGATGTAAGGTGTCTGAGGCTGGATATCTTTACAGGAGCAGACAGCCTCTCCTTGTGCCCAAGAGGCGTCTGGTGGGCTTGAACTACCCACCTCGCGGTTAGAAGTTCAACACCGCTTAATCCACCGCACCACTGGGGCACCCCTTCTCTTCCCCGTCTTGTAAGGAAGGAACCCTAAGGTTATAGCGCTGACGTGTTGGGCCGCTAACTTCATGGCCAGCAGTTTGACACCACCAGCCGCTGCATAGGGAAAGACGAGGCTTTCTACTCCAGTAAAGAGTTAGAGCCTCAGAAATCCACAGGTTGGCATTGACAGCTATGGCAGTGAGTTTGCCCTTTTGATTTGGAGTCATCTCCCACCTGCCCCCATCTCCCGTCCTGTCCCTTCCCTGGCCTGGCTTGGGTTGCTATCTCCTGTTCTGTGGTGGGAAGCAGGGCTCGTTCCTGGCCGTGGCACCCCCAGCACGGCGCCTCTCTTTCCTGCAGGATGATTTCTGCCGTCGACACAGACTCCCCCAGAGAAGTCTTCTTCCGGGTGGCCGCCGAGATGTTTTCTGACGGCAACTTCAACTGGGGCCGAGTGGTTGCCCTGTTCTACTTTGCCAGCAAGCTGGTGCTAAAGGTGGGCAGGCCTCCGGGTGCAGCCTGTCGACCCTGGGGAGCCTGGGCCCCGGTTGGTCAAGTCCTAAGTGGCCCCCGGAGGGAAGGGCCAGGGTCTGCTCCTTCACTCTGCTACTCATTCAACAAATGCGCTTCAGGCCGACTGTGTGTTCCAGTAGCGCAGCCGTGAACAAGAAAGCCTGGGGACCTCCGCTTTCATGGGGCTCCAGTTGTAGAAGGCAAACGGGGCGATGGGATTGAGCAAGGGGGCTGGTGACCTTGTGAGTTCCAATTGGTCTGCTAAATGTGAAATCGGCGGTTCTAAGCCACCAGCCGCCCCTGGAGAGAAAGATGAGGCGTTCTACCCTCATGAAGAGTTACAGTCTCAAAAAAAAAAAAGTTGAGAGTACCAAAATCCCAGGGGGGTGATTCTACGCTGCCCCCTAGGGTCACTCTGAGTCAACATGGCTGAGTTTGAGGGGCTTTATTCTTGGGGGGCAGCAGGAACAGCCTGTGCCAAGGCCCTGAGATAGGGCCTACCTTGGTGTGTCCAGCAGCAGCCAGAAGGCCCGTGTGGCTGGGGCAGAGTGAGCCATGGGGAGTAGGCTGCAGGTGAGGGCAGGGTTGGTGAGGGGCAGATATTGGGTGGGGGCCTGTTGGACCCCTTCTAAGGGTTTGAGCTTCACGTCGGGAGAGACATGAGTGGCTGGTCTCAAGCAGGTGGATGAGATGATGTGGCAAGTGCAGCTAGAAGAGAAGGGGGCGGGGGCAGATGCGTAAGCCCACATTCAAACTCACAGGCGCCTCGGAAGAGAAGCCTGCTCATCGGCTCCTTGAAAATCATGGGGGCACGAAGTTCTACTCTGCACCACACGAGGTCGCTGTGCTTTATGGTGGACTCTGGTAGCTGGTGTTGCTAGCAGGTCCAGGGAGGAAGGTGTAAACTGTGGAATTCAGGTTGTCCATGAAGTGGGAACTTCAAGGAATTGGGAGAACAGTTGTGGTATGGGGGAGGGCAAAGCCTTACCGAGTGTGGAGGTCAGACAAACCCAGGGTGGGGTGGGGGGTGGCATTGGATGTGCATGAGCTGAGAGCTGAGTGAGCAGTCACTCTATAGAGGCTTGTTTGAGGGAGAAGGCCCTCCCGGCGGGTGCATACAGATACAGAGCCCCTGCCACAGGGGAGACTGATGGGAAAGAAAAGGCAGGTCAGGGAGCCACCGAGAAGCAGCCAAAGTAGCTTGAGGTCAGCCCAGAGCCTCTGCTCCTAGCCATGTGGGTGTGAACAGGGCTGCTGGTACTGGTATAATCCAGTCCATGGGAATTGCACATGGGGACAGCACCCGGAGGGGACACAGAAGGTTCAGAGAGGAGGCTTGAGGCCTGCTGTTGCTGTCCCCCAACGCCT